ATCCTGGACAACTCCCACCCAGGACGTCCAGTCAGGATGTCCGTCCATCGGCCAACTGGTAACCTAGAAAAAATCTGAAAAAACATTATGTTATGCAGAAAAATAAACTGAACAACTTTTGAATCAGGGTCGCATCGAAATTCTTTACCCAGTAGGAAGGACATGTTACATTCACAGAGTACCCTGGGACTGTGTAATATAAACATTACACACACTAGATCGAAGGTGGAGAACCTTCAAATCTAGCCTTTTGCGGACTTTTGCGTACGATGTTTTGATCCCCACGATTGAGGGGGTACTTTCTGAGGCTCCTCTTCGATCAAACTATGGCGAGCCTGCTGATTGACCAATGAATTTGGAACTTACGACGGGTGACGAGCGGAGAACAAGAGATTCTGGTGGCTTTGACTAAAAGGTTCAAATAACTATCTCAATCCCTGGTGGATAGAGGGATGCTGTCAGAATTTGACATGTGTGTAATGTTTATGGTACACCTGCCCGAGGAGAAAAGGACTGGTGTCACTGGTCCATGACATTCTGTTCTTTTGCTGCGGTCAGGTTTAAGCCAGCCCACAGTGCCTGGCTCATCCCAAAGACTGCAGTGCCTATGATGTGAGGGACACTGGACCCGATTCCCAGCATATAACGACTCTACTTTAAAAAAAGAAAAGAGTATTTATCAAATTTAAAATAAAACATCTAGACTACCAGAGTGGCCCAGGACCACTTGCCCGGCCAGGCCAAAAAAAGATTTAAAAAAAATAAAAATTTAAAATAGAAAAAATATTTTTTATCTTTTTTTCTAGGTTACAAATGGTCCGGGGGCCGGTCGTCTCCCCCGGAGATGGACGTCTCCCCATACGTCGAGTACCCCCGTCGTCCGGAAAAACAATTTTTTTTTTTTCGTACAAATAAGAAAAATATTTTATTTTTTTTTCGGTTTTTGATTTTTAACTCATGATTGACTGCGAATTTGAACATGACTCCAAGGCAAAAGTTGCTTGTATTGTTATGTTACATACCATATATGTTTTTCAGATTTTTCTGAGAACTTTTTTTTTTTTTTTTTGCGCTAGGTCGGACATACCCTGTCCGGTCGGACATCCCGGACGGTCAGGGGGGTCCTGGACGTCCGATCCAGCAACCTAGCTTTTTTTTTAAATATGGTAAAGAATTTCGATGTGACCCTGAGGCATGAAGATATTGGGCTTGGTTACATATTCGGATTGGTTCAATCGTGGGTTTGGTTTCCATCTTTTTTTGATAGGATTTGGTTTCTGTTTCGCTGTTTGGGTGATAGTCGTAGTAATTTGTTGCGATTTTTGTGTAGCGTTTTGCATGCGATGGGATGAAAGAGAGAGTGCCGCTCTGTGCAAACGCCACTATGGTGGGCAGTGGGGTTTCCTTGTGAGAAGGTGCAGATTAGTGGAAGTGGTTTTCCCTAAATCACGAGGAGGTGGGTGGGTTTGCGGGGTCTTTGACCCCTGCCGTGCGGGAGGTAGGGTATTACCGCTGAGACGTTGAATTTGGGTCAGATATTCATTTCATCCTAATAGGCTGCTGTTTGCTGTCATCTGAATTCTTAAGGAGAAGTGGTGAGCATTGCTCCACAAGGGCTTCGTCATGGAGGGAGGGGAAGCATCCGTAAGGGGTATATGCAGATTGAGGGAGAGGGTTACCCTAAATCGCCAGGAGGTGGGTGGGTTTTGCGGGGCTTTTTAGCCCCTGCCGTGCGGGAGGTAGGGTAATCCCCTGGTTAGTGAAAACAGCATCGTGGTGGGAGTTGGTGTTTTTGTAAAGAGGAGTGTGGGGAGGTGCTATCCGCTTTGAATCGCGAGGAGGTGGGTGGGTTTGCAGGGTCTCTGTTAGCAGTTCGGGGCCTGTGGGCACAGACCCCTGGCGCACGGGTGGTAGGGCGGATTGGCAGGGGTTGGTAATAACTCCGGATGAATGGTGGACATGATCACGCAGCGCTGATTGCTCATTTCTTTTTTGTGGTTTTGATTCGTTTTCTCCGGTTGGTGGAATTTAGGTCACTAACTTAGGGTTGACATGACTATTGTGATTACAGTTTTTAGTGATGAACTTTAGATTTTCTTAGTATTTTCATTTCTTTGGGATAATCTAGATTGTGATGATAATTTTCGTTGACTTTTTGCGTTGTTGGGGCTGTGGAGTTGGTTGTGGAGTTGGCTGTGGGGTTAAATCTAGTGGTGCCCTCTATGTGCTTGGTCAATGATGCCTTGTCCACTGAGGTCCCCACCTAATTTTGTAAGGGACGCCGGGCCCGGGTTCCCGGCTTTTATTAAAAAAAAAAAAAAGTTGTT